GCCAGGAAGTATAAAAGCGCATCCAGCAGAGCGCAAGTTAGCTTCGATGAAGTAGCGCCTGGAGGGATGCAGGGAGTATGGCAAAGAGATGCAGCATCTCGTTCCCTCTGGGAACCATGGTTACATACGTAACCTAGAGATGTTCCCCTTCAGGAGCTCGAGCTGTGTCGAGATTGCTTTGGGAGCGAGAATACCCACTGCGCCATACTACCAAGTCCCTGCCTGTGTGTGTATCTTACGAGCACATCACGAAGAGAGAACTTGGGAACCTGGGGTAGATGCCATGTGTTCACGGTTTGTGTGTGTTCACTGCTGTGTGTGTGCACTTTGGATGGGCAAATGCAGAGCACTAATTCCGAGTATGGGTCACCATACTTGGCCACGTCACTTGACAAAAGTGTGCGGAGAGGACCAGCCCAGCACAAATGTCCTGCAAGGCCACACCCAAGTTGAAAGCCTTGGAGGCCGCCATACTCCTGGTCAAGTGCGCTCTGACCCCCATAGGAGACGGGAGGCCAGAGGACTCGTAAGCTAGTGAGATGGCCTCGACCACCCACCTACTCATGGTCTGCTTGGTCGCCGGAGATCCTTTCTTTGGCGGACCAAAACAAACAAACAGCTGATCTGCCTTTCGCCACGGGGCAGCTCTGTGTGCGTAAGCGTCCAGTGCTCGAAATGGACAGAGCAGATTAAGCCTTTTAGGTCTACTTCCTGGAACGGAGGAGGACAGAATGCCTGAAGTACTATGGGCCCTGGTGAAGAAGTGGGCACCTTAGGGACATACCCGGCCCTCGGGTCAAAGAAATTCCCTAACCATGCCTGGAGCAAATTCCAGGCACGAAACAGAAAGTGCCTGAAGATCCCCGATCCTTATTAGTGAGGAAATAGCGAGGAGAAAGATGGTCTTGAGCGTGAGCAACTTGACCGAAACTTCTTCTATGGGTTCAAAGGGGGCATTGCATAAGCCCTCCAGAACCACAGCCAGGTCCCATGAGGGCGGAGAATCGCTCCTGCAGAAACTCCAGAACTGTACCAACTGAGCAGTTGACTGGTTCCTGCAGTCGCTGTCCGCACCATGAAGCGAAAAGTTTCCACTTCAAGGCGTACTGTTTCCTAGTGGCGGGAGCTCTGAACTGGAGTATAGTCTCAACAACATCAGTTGAGAGACCAGATGCTAGGTACTGTGCCCCCTCAGGGGCCATGCCCACAGCTTCCATAACTCCAGGTGGGGGTGAAGAATGGCGCCCCCCACCTGAGAGAGGAGATCCCTCCTGATCGGAATCTCCAGCGGAGAGCCGTCGAGGAGGAACACCAAGTCCGAGAACCATACTCGGGCCGGCCAGAATGGGGCTACTAGCAACAGACGGACCCTATCCCGGCATACCCTCTCCAGAACTCCCGGGAGCAGAGCGATCGGGGGAAAAGCATACAGACGAAGCCTCGGCCACGTCTGCTCCATGGTATCCAGCCCCAGTGGAGCTAGATGCGTGAGGGAGAACCAGAGCGGACAGTGTGTCGTTTCCTGCGACGCAAATAGATCCACTTCCGCCTGGCCAAATTCCCTCCAAATGAGCTCCACCACCTCGGGGTGGAGCCTCGATCCCCCAGGCCTCAGCCCCTGTCTTGACAGGATATCTGCTCCCTGATTTAGATACCCAGGGATGTAAACTGCTCTTAGAGAGAGGAGCTTCCCCTGAGCCCACAGAAGGATCTGGCGCGCCAGCTTGTACAAGGGGCGCGAACGCAGACCCCCCTGCCGATTGATGTAGGAGACCACCGATGTGTTGTCTGTGCGGACAAGCACATGATGCCCCCTTAGGTCTGGAAGGAAGTGTGTCAGAGCTCGAAACACGGCCAGCATCTCCAGGCAGTTGATGTGCCAAAAGAGATGATGGCCTTCCCACAGACCCTGGGCAGAGCGTCCACTCATGACCGCTCCCCAGCCCGTTAGAGAGGCATCCGTCGTTAGCATTATGCGATGACAAGGAGCCCCTAACATCGGGGTTTAGTCTTAACCCCAGCTCTCTCATATGGGCGAGGACGACATCTCGATGCCGAGCCGCCATCTTCTCCGATTGAGCTGGTATTAACCAATCGTCGATTTAACTGAGTATGCGGATGCCCTGGAGTCGCAGAGGAGCCAGAGCAGCATCCACACACTTTGTGAAAGTGCAGGGTGAGAGTGACAGGTCGAAGGGAAGAACTCGATATTGGTATGCTTTGCCCGCGAAAGCAAACCTTAGGAACTTCCAGTGTTGAGGGAGAATGGAAACATGGAAATAAGCGTCTTTGAGATCTATCGTAACAAACCAGTCCCCGGACTGGATTTGAGATACTATCTGCTTGATAGCGACCATCCTGAACCAAAGCCATTTGATAGCGCGGTTCAGAAGACGGAGATCTAAGCTCGGACGCAACCCCCCATCCTTCTTCGGAACGATGAAGTAACAGCTGTAGAACCCGGACGCTCTCTCTCGAGGAGGAACACGTTCTATGGCTACTTCTTGTTCCATTACCAGAGCCTACTCGGGGCCCACTAGTGTGGGGATGACCCCGTTGAAACGAGGCGGACGAGAACCGAACTGGATTCTGTAACCTTACTCTACAATCTGCAGGACCCATTTTGAGATATTTGGTAGA